TATCCAAATCAGTTTCCGAAAATGTTTTGTTTTCATTTTCAATTCCTATCGAATCCAATTTCCAAAATGACTGCAAATCAAATGTGTTTCCTTCAACGGCAGATAAAAACAACGCATTAATTCGAGTATTATTATTTTTTACTTTACCCATCACTGTGTATCCAAATATCGTCGGTACTATAAACAAACCATCATTTATCATTGAATTACTTCCTGTTTGTATATACCAGAAATGCTCCGCGCCAAGCAGAATATTTATGTTCTCATTAACGGGACTTGTATCCGAAAGTTCCAAACCTTTTTTTAATCATAAATTCTTTAATGTTTTGACATGTTGATGGTGCCTGGAATTCTATTGATGATATTAATTCTATCCCTATAGCTTCTACAACAAGGCAGCGATCATCGTTTTTATTTTTTATTTTTAGACTATATACATCAAATTCTTGCGAGTTACCGCGCTGATTTCCAAACGAATAAATTGTTAGAAATTCTTTTCTAATGACTTGCAATTCTAAATCGCGCGCTAACTTGTGGGTGATGAAGTTTCGTTCACTACCTGAATCAATTAATAATCTTACGATTCTCGATTTATTTTTGCTTTGAGCAATAACAGAACATCTCTGTAAAAGCACACTATTTTCAGGTTTTAGAGTGTTACAGTGGGAAGTAGATACTAAAGTTTTATTTTGCGTATCTGCGGAGTTAACATCTCCCATTTCTTTCGATTTCAAACGGCAGAAAAGTTTATTATGATTTTTGTCGTTACAATTTTCGCATGGTTGTATTTTTGAATGACAAAACGACGCAAATGTGATCTCAGAAAGCATCTGTAACAGCGACCTTCATGTTTTAATTTCTTTCGTTTTTGTTCGTCGGAAAATTTCAAACATCCGGCAGATGTATGTTCGTTTGATTTGCAGAATATGCAAAACATTTTTACCGATGTGTTAAAAGTAGAAGCTTGTGATTTGACTTTATAATTTTTGAACCCTTGTTTAGGATTAACCCCTGTGTATTTATTACCTTTTGAGCTATTAATCAAAATACTTGCTTCTCGGCATTCAGTTTCTATTTTAATGAACTCTATTAATTCACTTACTTCTATATTTTGGTTAGATGTTCTTTTTCTATGGAATTCAAGAGCTAAATCTTCAGGTAACAATTTAAGAATTATTGGGTTCAATAACTGTCCGTATGAACCGCTAGTAACATCTAAACTACTTAAATTTCTAACGCAGATTTGTAACTGATCATAGAGCTTTCTTAACTCAAAAACATTTGAAGAACTTTTAACTGGTTCTAACTGTAACAACATCTGCATGAATTTTGATATAATAACATCTTTACGACCAAACCTCTCTTCTAAACTTTTAATGCATAGATCATAATTTTCTTCAGATAAAGCATAACCAGAAACACAATTATATGCTGAACCAGATAATAAACTTTTCAAATATGTAAACTTATCTATTTTAGATAAACTTGGATTAGAATGAATAGCATTATCATACGAATTAAAGAATTCGAGCCATTTACTGGGATCACCAGCAAATTTTTCAATATTTAATTTAGGTAACTTTACTGAAGCACTACTTGTAACAACATTATTACCATTCAGAGTACTACTAATACCATTACTAGTTGCAATTATACTTCTTTCAACAACTTCATTACTGTTAATTTTCTTTACTTTACTAACAATCTTAGCTTTAAACGTTATAATTTTTTCATCATATTCTTCACATACAAGTAGTTCGTTATCATATTCTTTTCATCAATTATGAGAGCATCGATCTTTGAGTCAAGAGTTTTAAGTTTCTCATGGTATTCAATTAACAATTCATATGATGAATTTAAATCTTCTAGATGTTCTTTACTTAATTCTTCCGATAATAATTTCTCAAGTTTATTTAGAAGTGTAGTAACTTTACTACGTACAATAGCACGTTTCTTTTTCTCTTTTGCTAAATCATCCATTATGTTTCGTTTTCAAAGATCGATACCAAGAACAAGTAATAAAATTTCTTACCTTTCAAAAGGTAATTCCCCTTGTCCCGGGTTTCGGCACCAGAAAAAAATGTATGGTGTCTCTCTTCATGAGTCATTATTTCAAAGATCGTTTCGTTTCAGGAGTCAAGGTTGGGAGAGCATTAGAATTTCAAAGCAAAACTTCAAGATTTCTTAGAACATAGAAATAACATTTATTAACGATAAACTTATATTACTTTATATTACTTCCGCCTATAGCGGCCATGAAACATAATCAAGCATCAAATAAATATGACATGCGTCATTGTTCATGTTCAAGTGTCAAGTGATATATTTTTCATCGGCGCGCATCAAGAGCGCCACCTATCTACCAAAAAGACGGAACAGGCAGTGTAAAATTAGCCTATTTGCTTTTGGAGTGTGATTTGCCTGAACTGAAATGAGATAAAGACTTAAAGACGATTTAGCAGAATAAATCTACTGAAATCTCTAATCTGCTCGACATTGAAAATGCAACACCAAGAAGGAGTGGTCAGAAAGTGATGACTTTTGGAAAAAAGAGAGAGACACCAAGCAGCAATAAGTGGTCTTTATTTCAAAATGATAGTCAGATTTCAAACCGAGAATGGCGTCGACTCAGTAGTATGTAGGACCACCACGGACAGCGATGCACGAAGAAACATGTCTAGGCATAGAGTCAATAAGAGTGTGGATGATGTCCTGAGGGATGGCTTTCCATTCCCTTTCAACCATTTGTCACAGTTCGTCTTCTGAATGAGGCAGGGCCAGAGTCTGCAAACGGCGTCCAGTCACATCTCACACATGTTCGATTGGTGACAGGTCAGGAGAGTACGGTGGCCAGGGAAGCATCTGTATACCTTGCAGAGCATGTTGGCAAATGCGAGCACTATATGATCGGGTGTTATCCTGCTGAAAAATTGCATTAGGCAGCCCCTGAAGGTAGGGGATTGCCACCGACCTCAGTACGTTATCCAAGTATCGTTGGGCCGTCATAGTGCCCTGAATATGAACTAGAGGTGACCTGGAATCGTAGGCAATAGTGCCCCAAACCATTATGCCACGTTGTCGCTCGGTGGGACGTTCCACAGTTACTGCCGGATTAGATCTGTCTCCACGTCGATGCCACACACGTATGCGGCAACTGTCACTGGATAAACAGAAGCGTGACGCATCTGAGACCATGACGTTTCGCCATTCTGTCATCCACATCGTTCCAATCTGGCACCATTCTAAACGTTGGCATCTATGCTGTGGGTTCAATGGCAGCCTTCTTAACGGACGCCGGGAGTGCAGGCCACGTTCAACCAATCAACGGGAAATGGTTCTTGTCGACACGGGAACATCGAGGGTATCTTGCACATGCTGCAGAATTGCGGTACAAGTGACTTGCGGGACCGCCACAGCTTGTCAGCTTATGTATCGATTCACGCGTGCTGACGTCACTTTGGCTGCACCTGCACCCCTCTTGCTTCCTCTATTTCCTTGTTCCAACCATGTTCGCCATAGCCGATGCACCATGCTCTCATCCATGTGGGTATCAGCTGTGATTTAACGTAAGGACCAACCTGCCCTTCTCAGTCCAATTACCATACCCCTCGTGAAATTGTCTATGTGCTGGAAGTGCCTTCATTGATGGCGGCCTGGCATTCTCTCCTATTACGCGTATCCTCCGGGACAAAAACTAACTTTCTTCGATAATTCATCTGGCAGAAATAACGACATGAATATTGCCCATTCTGCACGTTCCTTCCCTTATATCTTATCTTACCTGACGTGCGTCGGAGAGCTGCGCATTTCACATCATTCGCATAACTCAGTGACATATGTCTACTTTAAAATTTGCATAAATTTCTGACCACTCCTACTTGGTGTTGCATTTTTAATGTCGAGCAGTGTATTTATTGTTATTCCATTTCTATAATTGTATATTATAACATTGTCATGTATTGAATCACAATTTGATCTCTTGTACTTTCATATCTTATTTTTGTTATTAAAGGGGGGGGCTTGTTAGTACGGATCCTCTGAAATATTTGATGTTGGTCCTTTGAGTTGCCATCAAAGGAACTGGGAGGAAATTCTGTAGTGATAAGGAGCATGTTGCTGCCTGTACATATGACAACTATAAGAAGTTTTTGTAGAATTGCAGAGAACAGAGACTGTGTATTGAGTGCTGTGTGTTTGAAGCTTTAAAAGTAAAGAACAATGTTTAATGTATATTGTGCCTGATTAAACTTTTTGATGATTGTGGTGAGAATATTTATCATACGAACAACAAAGTTGGGCACCATTCCATAGAACTAAAGCAGATAGTTTTATGCACTCTTTGCTTATTAAATAATCCAGTCTCTGAAGCTGTAGATTTAAAAGAGAAGCATGTAAAAAAAATAATAAAAATTATTAGCACCTCTTTTAAGGAGTATGTGAAAGAAGGAGACTTGTCAGTCAATGTCAGTCAAACATAACTACAGGATTTTTTAAAATCCTCAAAGGCTTTATCATCTCAACAAGGCCATATAAATTTATAATTTCATTGTAAATATATTTATTTTTAAATATTAGATTGTGAGTATTAAAAATCTTTGTGTCACATGGTTATCTGTAATTCTATTTATACCTGTTAAACAAGGTTCTTATTTTGGGGCTGAAAATGAATTGTCAAGTAACATTCCCTTTCTTAATATGTTGATGGGAAAAGTTCATTTAACTGTGTTATCGTGGGTATAGAATAAATTATTAATTCACTTTGGATATTACTGTGCTTAATCTTTAAGTATATGTAATATCATATACATATTACTATTTATTTTCAAAAAAGTTGTTGTTGTTAAAGTACATTTTAAATGTATCATGGTTGTGAACACAATAAAAGTAAAGTAGCATTCAATTGTTTCTGAATTTCATTTATAATTTTACCATATTTTTTAATATAAAAATACACTAATGCTATGTTTTATATTAAATGTGTTTTTTTTCCCATCTCCTAGTTTGGTGTGAAGATGAAACACGCTCTTTGATTGAATTGCACAAGGCTTATATTTCCAAGCTCAACGATAGCAATTATTCAAGGCGGCAGTTTTTAGAAGATATTTCACGTGAATTGAAGATGATTGGTTATGAAACAACTCCTGAAAATGTTCGTAATAAAATTAAGTATTTGCGTAACAGATACAGGATCGTAATGGACTATAACGCAAAACACGTAGAAAAAAGAGCCATGCCATTTTTTGATGAATTGGGTGAATTGTATGGTATGGATTATGTTGAAGATTCAGATCTCTGTGCAGAGCAAAATGGGAATGGTTCTGCTGATATTTCTTACCAAGTACCTGGAAATGATCGTGCATCAAAAAGAACTTGTGTTGGCAAGACAACTATACCTGCTTCACATGTTGATCTACGAACTGTAGTCACGTCAAAGAAAAAAACTGATGAAGGTTCCAAACCACCAAAAATAATTGTAAAGAAAAAATCCAATGCAAAAAATAGATCTCAGCCTTTGTTTCAATGTGGTCTTTGTATGGATAAATTTCGAACATCTTATGATATGCATGGACATACATGTAAACCATCTGCCAAAAAGAACAGTAGCAATTCTCCCAAAAAGAAACAAAATTCTGCCAACTCTCCACATACTGTTTGTAAGTATAATTTTTGTGTCTCCATGAATTTATTTTTCTGAATGTAGCATTGCATATTTTACATAAGTTTATCAATATATTGAATTTAAATTAGAGTGGATTTATTTTTTGTTATATCGGTCAGTTTAAACTGATCTCAGAATATTTTAGGGCTTGCTTTTTTTTCAAACCTTTTATTTGAACATATATCAAAATCATTAATCTTTCTTTGGTACTTATGTATCATCCAATCAACTATGAAAGTGGATAGCATCGAACCATGAAAGTTAACAGAGACTCCACCAAAGTTGCATCTAATGTTTGTGTGGAATTCTTTAGGAACTGACACCTCTCTATTTTTTGAATTTAATAGGCATTTGTATTCAACCCACTTTGTTTTTGTGTTGAGTAAAAAGGTTTTCGCCTATTTGTACATTTTTAGGCCTTCCAGTTTTACCAGAAGCTCTGTTTAGAGATGCTATGAGTTCTAACTTCCTGCAGTAATTGGTACAATTTATCATTGTTTTGTCGGACATGTTCAGCTAACTTTTTTGTATCCATTCATACACTTTTTTTTAATGGTACAATTTCATTACTGGAAATAATCCACTGTTTGCTCATATGTAGAAGGCACATTTTAACTTTCAATCTTCTTTCTTCCCCTTCCCCCAATGTAAGAGAAAATACAGCAATAACAATTAATTTACATTGTCCAATCAAAACAAAAAGTGGCTTATTGAGTATCCATTAAGGTTACATCAAATGAAAGAACAGGTGTTTTGAGTGTGTGGTAACATTACTTATAATTTGTGGTAAATCTTTTTGGTTGGCAACAGGTTTTTGGCTGATGGGTAATACATAAGTACTCTTTCTTTCTCTGTATCTGCTAGGTTTATTAAAGAGGGTGAAAAATTGGATATTGAAATATTCTCAAGTATAAAACAGCCCTTTATTTTGGAACGTGCTTTACAAGAAAAAAATGGGCCTGCGTAATAAGATAACCTCCGATTTATGAACTTAATATTGTTGTAAACTACAAGTTCATGAAGATCTCTCCAAATAAGCACTGTAGATAACAAAAAGAAACTGACAATAGTAATTAACTAGAGTAAAAAGCAAAAGTAGCAGCTGTAAATAACTCAAAAATCCAGAGATTAGGCAAATTCACTGTAATACAGAAGAAATATAGATTACTGGTATCACTTTCATAGTGAAATCTAAAATGCAGTCCAGCTACTGCTCTTTGAGTCACGTTTGTCTGAAATCATTTAGAACTAATTAGCACCTAACTGACTGCTTTCTGTTGGAGCTGTATTTGTATGGCATTGGTTCAGAAAAAAAAAAAAAAAAATCACTCTTGAAGCTTCAAAAATGCATTTTCCTGAAACTTCCAGAAAATTGCTAGGCTGGCGAGAAATTGCCAAGTATTGCAGATTTAGTAATAATTGTCATCGAGGTTTGCAAAGAAAATTATGACCGATATCAAAAATTCTACTTGAGTTTTTTCACAATTTAAGCATTTTTGAATTTGGAATCACAAGGCCAACAGTTTTGTGCAAGAAATAAATAGTTGTGCACAGAATACATACCACAAATTAATTGACTCGCACAAAAAATATGCTCTAAAATAATTTCCTAAAATATAAAAATTAGTTTGATAAAAACAGTACAAAATGTTACAACAATAGCAGGAAAACAATAATGCGATCAAGCAAACTTAAATGTCTTGTTGTAACAAAAGTTTTCCAAAAAAAAAAAGGGGGGGAATAAAAAAAGGAATAAATATTAGAAAAAAGGTGTGAAAGCAGTACCTTTAATGTGGGTAGTAATCGCCACCCAAATCTATGATTTTCTGCTAACGTTGGTAGTTTTCGGCCCAGAAGCTCGTGGACCATTAATCCAAAAACAAGTCAATCTCATTTCAGATGTCCTGTGCAGAATGGAAGATAGCACCAGCAAGATGTAGCTGTAGGTATGAAAAAAGACAGAAGTCCGAAGGAGCAATGTCGGGGCTATATGGTGGGTGTGGCAAACGATCCCATTCGAGTCCATACCGGTGAAAGCAGACACATGCGTTCTTGCATTATCTTGACATTGCCTTTTTGCGGTTGAGCTCAGTTCAATGTTTTCTTTCCAGCAGCATCCACACAAACTAGCATCTCACTGTACACCTTACTGTCGAGGGTTTTACCTTTTTCCGGACACTGTTTGTGGATAATACCACGACAATTCCACCAATTACAAACAATGATCTTTTTGTTAATCAAATTGGCGTTTTGCGACATTGCCAATGGGGTCACTGATTGCAGACCAATCCCCTTCTCAGCTTGCATTGTTGAAGTAAATCCACTTTTCATCACAAGTGATGATCCTGACCAGAATTTTGTCCTTGCGTTGATACTCGAGCAGATTAGTGCAGGCCCAAACACATCTATCTCTATCTGAGTCAGCTCATGTAACACCCAGCGACTGAAATCCCCTTCTCAGCTTGCATTGTTGAAGTAAATCCACTTTTCATCACAAGTGATGATCCTGACCAGAATTTTGTCCTTGCGTTGATACTCGAGCAGATTAGTGCAGGCCCAAACACATCTATCTCTATCTGAGTCAGCTCATGTAACACCCAGCGACTGAACTTGTACATCAAGTTTATGTTATGCGTAAAGCGACTAATGTCTGACTCCTTAACAAGCTCTTGAGTGGTTGAATGCTGATCTTCTGCCACAAGTTCTTGCTGGCAGGTCTCGTCAGCATCAGTAGGCTGGCCAAAGTGCTCTGCCTCTGGAATGTCATAGTCCTTCACAACGTCATATGATGCAACATTAGTATCTAAAGCTGTACGAATGATTTGGTGACATTGTGTAGCTGACTTTTTGCGACAGAAATGGAATTATATGATGGTTGTAATGAAGTAGCGTGATAGTTCCACACCATGTACTTAACGATAACGATATTTTTTGCAAACTTCAGAATACAGTGTTCTAAAGCAAGTCTCACTTTCAAATGTCAAAAATCGTTTCACAAACTATGATTAAACATGCCAACGCTATTTGTGCAGAGGATATTTGCAGTGGCAGAAAACTTTTGTTAAAACTCACATGTTAAAACATGATAGGCACCTTAACCCTTTTGAGAAGGTACACCTTTGTTTAAGGATGCTCCCTCGGGACAAATGGGAGTTGAAAGGACCATAGGACAGAGGTTTTAAGTCCTAATGTCACCATTTGGTATCATTTTAGATTATTGCTTAAGCTATATGTTCAAATTAGCATTTAATAATCTTCCTTTACATGAAAATATATATATATATATATATATATAATTGCTTAGTTTAAGAAATAATTTTCAGAAGCACATTTAAATTATTCTGAAGTTTGAAATGTCTAAATGCTTTAAAACTAATAAACTTTAAAATCCAAGAAATAAAGCAAATCCAAGAAAGACTATTTACAAGAACAAGAAAAAATCTTTCATGGGAAGAGAAAGGTAGTTCAGTCTCTGATAAAATGTTCTATATCAGAATCACTGGAAATATCGCTCTCTAACTCTGTAGAAAACTAATTGTCACCATCCATGTTACTAATTGGCTCATTTATCATGCAACTTATTTACTATGTAAGGATCCTCTGATAAATAATGCTTTCTCACCATAATAAACTGATGTCGGGGCTTTCCAAAATAAAAAGGGAAGTATGCGAAATATAAGTAGTTCAAAGCCTAAAAGAACTCCATATAGTAACCTTAAAAGACCCTACACATTAGCAGAAAGAAAGGGGGGATTTTAAGGGATACAGAAGCATGTATATTTTTATTACACGGCGAATAAAAGAGCCGAGCTCTGTTTGTTTGCATTACACTCCCTCCTCCCCGGCAACAGCTGATACCAAAGTTAAGCAGAATGTGATCAAACTGACGGTCAGGATCCTTCAACTATGTTCAATTCAAAAGCAATGGACAAAGGATGCCATCAAGTGGTTTTTAAAAAATAGTTCAGCTTCAAATGCACATATGCATCACCTGTCTCCTAAGCACATTCTCAGGTGATGCATGGGTTGTAAGATCTCTTATTTGCTGTCATAAATATCACTAGATCTCACTTAGAAACCTGGTGACTTCTCTCACAGGTGTAAAGAATACCATCACAGAAGGCTAAAATAACTATTTGACAAACTCTTAAAACAAAATGCACATACTTCGTGTTTGCAATAACATCAATGACTTGTGGTGCAACTTAAGAATAGTTCACAGCAACTTCAAAGATAAAGAGTAGTGCTGGACTGCGCAATTTAAATTAAGGCTAATGTGGCTGACTTAACAACCAACCTGGTGATGCACTTATTAAATGGCCAAAAGGTGTAACAGCAAGGACAACGAGTAACATGTGCTGGTTAGCTAAATCACACTCTGAACAAACTATGACATTTGTCCGTTTAAATACTCACTTCACTTAACTTTAAATTTGCATCCTGTGAAGGAAATGCAAGGGGAAAATGAGAGGTTCAGGAAAGGTAGCAAAACTTAAAAAATTTGTTATGCAAAATAAGAGAAACCCTATAGGGTGGGATGTTTGGTTATGACAGATGTTCATAAGGAATGCATATATGGGATGCATGTCCAGAAAGGGTTAATCTTCAAATTGCTCTGTTGGAATGGTGAACGCTAACAGGATACATTGTCTTATGGAGATGGGCAGTTTGAAAAAATTTGGTACTGTTCTGTTATCAGCAGGGCTGTGGAGTCAGTAGGGAAAATGGCCAACTCCCAACTCTGACTCCTGGAATTTTGAAGACTTTGACTTCGACTCCCTCATATATATATATGTAAACATATACATATGGGTTACAGCTTATTTTTTTAATATAAGAGAAGTAATAGATGCTACAGAAAAAAATTGATAGCATAGCAACTTATTTATATTAATTAGTATTTATAATAAAATGGAAAAACTGCCATTAGTTTTTTCTAAGAAAGAGTATAACTTTGGCAAGATCTTCTTTGTTGAAGGACCATAGAACCGATTTGATAAACTTCAGAGTTGAGAACAGTCTTTCTACACTGACTTGAGTAGGAGGAAAAGCTGTTCAGTAAAGTTCATATATGGCTTTCTTTGTCTTCTTAATTTTTTCGTCAGCCAACAAAATTTGGTGTTTTGAGTCTACATATATTGAACCCAGCAAGATCTCATTGTCTGGCCTAGTAGTTTTTCTTTTCTTCATTGAAGAAATAATTCCTTCCGCAATAAACCCTTTTTTTCAGAAAGAACAAACACCACTTTAACTTTTCAGGATAGACTTTTATAAATTCTAAATGAGGTGTCGTGCAAGAGCAATCATATTTCTGTATTTCTTCAAAGGCCGTGTAGAAATCTTGTTTGTATTTCTTCATTTTTATATCTAAAGGTTCTTGGTTTCTTTATTTTCATTCGCTTTGCTAGCCTTTTCAATATTATCCAAAAATATATCTCAATATCTTATTCATCATTGAAAGAGGATGATAGAGACTCAGTTGCAGTTTGACTGTCCTGATTTGAATACTCGAATTGTTCTGAAAATAATTTCATTTTTATTGAAAGTTCATATATGGCTTTCTTTTTCTTCTTAATTTTTTCGTCAGCCAACAAAATTTGGTGTTTTGAGTCTACATATATTGAACCCAGCAAGATCTCATTGTCTGGCCTAGTAGTTTTTCTTTTCTTCATTGAAGAAATAATTCCTTCTGCAATAAACCCTCCCTTTCAGAAAGAACAAACACACCATTCTTCCATTCTCGCTTCCTTTTAATTCTTTAGATTGTAGCTTTTTTGTAGCTATATACAGTGTAGAAAGAAGAGTTTCAAATTCTGCAAGATCATTCTGCAGTCTTTCGGTTAGTGAAACATTAGGGTTATCTACATCTTCTAAAAAAGTTCTTTAATTTTAACAACATCTATATCATCAAATATGTACTTCCTCATTGTGTTGCTTGATCAATAATTGCTCCTTTTCCTGCTCTCTTCCTAAGAACGGCATCAATTTTGGGAGTTCTTGCTGCTATTGCTGCTTACCTAAATTTACCAGGGAGATTTGTAACTAAATGAATCAGTTTAATCACTAATGGCAAATATCACATTCATCCTCCTTCCTTATATTTATTTATTAATATGTCAATAAAATAGAAAATAACTATTTTTTAATGTGTATAGTCCATTAATAAAATAATAACTCAGTTTGTCATTAATTTGTTTTTCAATTCACTTTAATTTCATTTTAAATTCAAACTGTCCAACAAAAACTGGAGTAGGAGTTGACCTGTTTTTAGAGACTCCAGCTCTGACTCCAACTCCACAGTCTTGGTTATCAAGACTGTATATATATATGTGCATATATGCATATACACACATACATCTGTACTTGCATATATACATGCAAACATGAACACATGCTCCATATATGCATTTCTGAATCCAGTCCTGATAACAGAACAGTACTAAAAATTTGCATAAAATTAAATTTGTAGTCCAATTTTTGTCACATTATAAGAGGAACAGTAGTTGTCAGAATTAATATGAAATCTTTATCACATTTTCCTTGCCATTTGAAATATAAGAATATGTTTTGTTAAATGATGCACAAAATATTGCCTCAGTGCTAGACATACTGTAGAAAAGTGAATAAAACCTCTGAAACAATAGGCCATATATTCCCATATTACAAAAGTTAAAAACAAAATGCAATCATAAGTATTGAGAAACCGTATGTTTATATCAGCTGATGCAGTTATAGCCATCTCTGTTTATTTGCAATACTTATTCCCACGATTTCTGCTCTCATTTTAAAATAAAATATCAAAAATAAAAATATATTGCAACGGAATAAAGGTTCACACTCTGCTGTCTTAATAAATTCTACCATAATAGGCACAGGTCTGCATGTAGTGGCAACAAAAAATAATAATTAAACATTCTATATAAAACTTCATATCTGGTATATCCATCCTAAGAGTGAATTTAAACGGCAATTCATATATGACATCCCACCTTTACATAACATTGGTGGCCGATGAATATGTGACACACCTATCCTAAATGAATAAGGCTTTTGTCAGCTTTTATGTTAAATGCAGGCTTTTAATGTCAGAGTTGATAGCAAATGATTGTTTTTATAAATTTAGGCAGAAATGGCTTTTTCCATTCATTTGGCTTTTCTACCATGAACTGCAATTTCATTTCCGTAGCTCTCTGAATAGTTAAACTTTAACTGTACTTGCATGTGGCAGGTATGGGAAACTTGCAGCATTTTAAGTAAATATCTTATTTATAGAGGCAGTATTGTAATCACTGCACTAACCTGCATATTTTCCAGAAAGAGTTAGGGATTTGTTAGTTTAAATGGATTCTGTGCAATATGTGACAAGCCATGTTAATGGGATTGCAACAAATAAAATAAACAATATGAATGTCATTTTATGCTAGGTATCTGTGAATTTGTTCATTTAGTCTTCTGTTATTATGTGAAGTTTGGACAAAATCGGTAAATAAAGTGTGTTTTTCTCTGTCAGTTCAAATAATTGAGATTGTAGTATTGATGTTCTCTTTTTGTCATCTTGGAATGAAACAGTGATTTAATAAAAATTTATTTTGAATTGGAAATAAATAAGAATATGGTAGAACTGCAGTTATTAAATTAATTTTTCTTTTTAAGCTGGGGAAAAAAAATGTTATTTATTTATTTACATATATTGAACTTTTCTTTCTTTAAAACAATGTAAAACTAATGTAATATGCACTAGAATATTTTTCATTAGTAAAGTAATGTTACCTGATAGGCTGCATTTTGTTTCAGACAAGTATAATTTAGAAAATTAATAATTTAGTTATAATTATTATTATTAATTATAATAATATTATATTAATTAAATAGTATTTAACAGAAAAAACAAGAATATGCGTTTAAAAAGCCTTATAAATGAAAATAGATTTATTTTATTACAGCTAAAATAGAACTGAGATGCATGTTTAGGGGCAGAAATTCACTGCATAATTTTATCTAAAATAATAACAATAATTTAGTTTTACAGTAGAACTAGGATAAAATCATGATCGTTTTTAATTATATGTGAAATTTTTGAAAATTTAAGTATTAAAACTTATTTTTTTTAAATTTATTTTTAATTCTAGCATGAAAAATAAAGCCACAGCTGTGTCTTTTTGTTTTTGCTTTGCATAACTCTGTTCCATGTAAATTATTTTTGCAACAGTTTTAAGAATCTGTAATTGTGAAAATGGAATAGATTTTAGCTTGGATCTTGTTCTGAAACTGTGGAGCAGTTTGGGGTACTGTTTTAGTACACCTTTTTTTTTTTTCTAATAACTCCTAAATCAGCCTTTAAATTTTTTTTTTTTTTTTCTTTTCTTAATAAGTCCTTAAATGTTAAATATATCAGTTATTTTTCACTTGCAAAAAAGAGAGTGAAATATTCAAGATTATTCAAATACCTAGGTGGGCTGTGGTCTAATTAATCCAGTTGTTTAAAATTCAGTTTTGATTAACATCAAACTGATTGTTGTATCTAATTGTAAATTTCTTGCTTGATAATTCATGATTATTCATTTGATTGTTTAAAGCTTTTACAACTGAACTAAAATAGTGTCATTTCTGTAATCTAAAAGCTTTATATGTAGATTTTCAATTAAAAATATTTGCATTATATTTAGTTTATGATGAGACTGATCTTTCAAAAATACAGTTAATGGTGAGTCTTAAATCATTATTTGTTAGCCAAATTTCCAACCATACAGCAAACTCATTCATTACTGCACAATTAAAATGTAGAAATAATTTAAAATTGTGTCTAAATGTGTTGCTTCTGTGTTTAAAAGGTAATAATCAGGAGGAATTTTCTTTTGGGGAATGTTTGTATGTATACTTTTTGCTTTAATTATATTTTTTTATGAAATAAGAAGAAACAGATTATAATGAGCTTTTGTTTTCTTATTTCTTTTTCTTTCGTTTATTTAAGTAGTTGATGGAAATAAAACATGAAAATTTTGCAATTGAATTAACAAATAATTTTAATGATTAATTACTTTACAATATTTTTTTTTACACCAACATTCTTTTTTTCCCCCTCAACAGTTCACTGGAATAGCTTGATTACAATGCAGTTCTTGGATTTACTTAAAGACTATCAAGATAGTCACAAAAGCTCAAATTTCAGAAAAGGAAACTTGTGGGAGAATATGTGTGCCTTAATGAAAAGACGGGGCCATGCTATTCACCCGAAAGAGCTGCAAAGAAAATGGAACATATTGTCCTCTGCATATGCAAAAACAATTGCGTATAATAAGCACCATAAAGACAAAAAAAAATGTGCCTTCTTCAAGCGCCTGACTGATTTGTACAAGCATCCATCATCTTTTGAGTGCTTTTCTACAGAAGAACCTGTTAAAATGACAGTGGAAGTATCGCCATTTTCTTATGCATCACGTGAACCTGGTATCATTTCAAGATCATCATCATCTAATTCTAGCTCACAGAAAAAGCTTAAAGAAGAAAGACAAGTAAATCATAATGAAAACAACTTTGCAGACCTTATTCATTGGCTTGACAATACATGGACAGAGTGGAAAGAACTTGAAAAAAAACGAGAAGCGCTCCAAGCACAGAGACATAATGAGTTAATGGAAATGTTGTCATACATGGTCGATAGCAACGCAAAACAATAATAAGCATATTTAGATTTGTGGCTTAAAGGTTATTGTTTTCATTTATTTATCATTATGACAAGCATTTTATATTATTTGTGGTTAGTTTGTTTTTGTCATTGACCATATGTGTGGCATGATGTATTCAATTAGTCTTAAGATCTGTTATGATTATTGTAATTGTGCTTCAAAAAATATAAAGTAATATTTTTTTCAGAACTGGTTTGATATGAAAATTTTCTTTTTAACAAAACGTGTTTTGTGGAAGATATTCAAATGCAATATTTAGGTTATTATACATTTAGTGTAGTAAATTAAAATTAATGAGGTGAAATTTGTGGTTTTTTTCTTGTTTTTTTATGAAAGAAAAGTGTTTAGAAATTTATCTGCATATTATATTCTGTATAATTTTTGGGTGGAAAATTAGGATCTGCATATTATACTCTGTATAATTTTTGGGTGGAAAATTAGATTTTCTTTTGAAATGTAATCAGCTTTATTTTATTTGAAATGAATTTTTACTAACTTTTTTTTATGTTTGAAGTGCAACTTTATTTTTATTGTGATGTTGTAAATGAACAACTGTGTGCTTAGATATCATTTGAAAAAAAATAATCTCAGCTCTTTTATACCTATAATATTATATTCGTAACAGTTACCATTACATTGTGTAAATTAGTATTAATATTTTTAAATGAATTAACATTCAATGAAATAATATATTAAAAACTTTTGTACAAGATTAAAAGTTTTAGAAATTAAAAATGGGGGAAAAATAAATAAATAAATAAATAAATAAAATAAACTTTTAAGTTATAATTTTTGATTACCTAATATAAATTTTAATTATCTTTTCATGTACGACCAGTGTAATTATTGCCTTCTGTAACAAAATTCAGTAAAATTTCTGAGGATTGCTATTATAAAGATTTTTGTGGTGTATTATTGCTCACTGATTCTGCATTTCTAGAAAATCTTATTTTCCCATTAAAAAGTGTATGTTAATTTTCTCCTTTCCTCTAAAAATTTGGTGTTTAGTAATGCTCTAAAATTGAAATGGATTTCTCTCATTATCTTGTACATTTATCTGCATTTATTTAAATGTCATATTACATATACTTTAATGAAAGTAAAAACAACATAGTGTGAAAATTTAAGTACTGTTTTAAAATTTCAATTTGGACATGCTGATCTCGATGCTTAATCAATCTGATTGATGTCTGACACAATTTTGAAGGTGCAAGAACATAATTTTAACATGAAAATATATAAGTAATAAAATCAATATTTTGTGGCAATATATGTTTATTTAGATTAAAAGTGTGCAAGCACAATGATGAAATAAAATATGAGTATTATCAAAGTAATCAAGCCACGTCCATTAAAGTAGTCTAATTATCATATTATAAACATGATTATATGGAAGTTCTTTGATATTTATTATCATTTAAGTGTTAGATAAAATTTAATATTTAAACTAAAACTGATAGTATTTTTTTTATCATCTGTAGTCACTTTATTTCTATTAAGGTTTACTTGAAATTTTATAGAATGCATTTTATGCTATTTGTGTACTGTTTGACTAATTTATTTTTATTACCTAATTTTTTAGTGTCATGAACTTGCATTATTGTGTGTATTTGTTCAAGCAAATGTACGCGTATTTATTTTATCTGATGCATAAATGTTAATGTGCAGCTTTGTCATTCGTAAATTAAGCATAATTTACCTTCAAGTCCAGATCAAAAACATTGCTTATATATTTTTTAATTGCTCAATTTTTTAACGTGTTATTTCTTTTACTTTCTTCTTCCCTTTGTAAATATTTAAGTTTCTTACTTCATTATCTCACCATATTAAGGACTTCTATTGGGTGTAAACTGTACTCTGAGAGTGAAATGTATATCACTACCAAAACAGAAATTACCGCTATGTGCATAGATTATAATATACAGAATAAAACTATTGTTATCTCTGAACTTAATTTAGGATTTAGGTTGATGAAGAAATCATAATTTTTTAATTCTGAAATATCATAAGATGCTTCTGTATCCTTGTAATATGCAAACTTTTTTTGATGGGTAATAAATATATTGAACTTTTTCTTATAAAAAATTTAGGTACTTTTCCGTTTCGCCGGCGCAAATCTCGCCAAGCAGACTTTGTTGGCGACAGCATACAGTATACACATAAAAAAAATTTTAAGAAATGTTAGTTCTAAGAATTTTTTAGTTTGAAGGCATAAACATTTTAATATGGTTTAAAATTTTGTAAAAAGCTAGTAAATAAAGACAATAAATTTGTAAAAACACATTAATTTAAGAATTTACTATGCTGTCATGGTTCAACACCCCGATTCGCCGGTTTGTATCACGTGACCCCAAGTGATCTCATCTCACGTAAACTATGCTACAAAAAAAAACTAATTCTCTCAGTAATTATCTACATTAATTTCAAGTTAAATCTTAATATAGAATACAAGTTTAAATGCAAGAATTAGTCAACTCGTACGAAAAGCTTACTCAGAAATTATGTAAAACCGCCTTGGTTTACCTCGCTAGTGCATTCTCATTAGAATTGTTGAATTTAACCCTTGATTTTGCCTTTTCTATATTTTCGGCTTCGGGTGTGATTGCATCCTAATTAACTTAATTACCGCGAATGGTCTTAGGGCATAAAATTTAGCTATCTAGGTAAAAAATGTTATGTAATTGTATGCCAGTATTGAAAGGAGCAATCAATCTGATAAGAAAATAGGCTGCGACTTGTTTTGAAAATGAAGCGTAAAACGTTACTAGCGAAGATATTCCGTTTGGCATCAGTTGTACCATTATTGGCGACTTTATCGTTTGCGCCGGCAAAACGGAAAAGTACCAAAATTTAGTATTTTCATCCAATTGTAAAAATTAACTGATTTTGATAGGGCTAAATTTAAAATGAAAAAAGGTATAGTGGTATATCTTTTTAGAAGTGTCAAAAGCTCTTAATTCAAATGAAGAATGTAGCAATGTATGGAAAGGTAAAAAACAAGTGATTTTTCTGTGCTGATTTCATATACATTTATCTGGAAAGAACAATGCAGGAATAGCTGTGGCAAAACTGAAATCAAAGTACAAAAATTATTTTAAATTCTCGATGAGAGCAATGCAGGTTTATTATCTTTCTTGAGTCAGAAATTCTAAATGATTCTACATAATTATTGTATTGAACATACCTAGTGTGATATTTCAAATTAGTTATATTTCAAAATAAAATTAATGCATATTTGCATTATGAGCCATATTGAATGGATCAAAGAGGCAAATTTGGCTCACAAGTAACAGTTTGACTATGCTTGGTGTATAATATTATAATCATATTTAAAATAGAGTTTTAGAAACATTGATGCATTAAAAGTCTACAGTACATATCACACTTTTAAACCTTCCCTTAAATTTAATAATATAACTGTTTCTTGGGTATATTTTCAGCATGAACAGTATCACTTTGTTTACAAATTTGTACTAAACATGATAAAAAAGTAACTGAGAACTATTGAGAATCACATATTATTACTGCAGAGCTGGCTTGATTAAGTATTTATGCAAGATATATGATTTACTGACTAGACTAGTAATGTGAAATATGATCATATGATATTTTAAATGTTTTCACATTTGGGCTCATTATAAAAGGTATCTGCAAAATTATTGAATTAATTCAATATGATTGCAATTAAATTATTCAGACATGATTTAATACTGCATCACTATATGTTTATTTATATTGAATACTACATCTTTTCACCTGCTCTGCATGCTGTGATTCTATGTACAGTCTGGTGTAAATATTTGAGTATTAACATCTGGAAGACTTTTTTTTTTTTTTTTTTTTTTTTGTGTGTGTGTGTGTGTGTGTGTTTTGTTTTAATTATGGATCTATGTTAATTTAATAGTAGAAAATCATAAAATAGATTTATGTATGCTTTCATCCATTCATGGCGTAATTAACTGTAAAAGTTTGTTTATAAGTATAATTTTACTGCTTGCATTTTGAAATTGCCACAAATAATGAGTATTCCAAATAATGAGTCATTTTATTGCTAGAGGAAAGTATTATATAGAAATGGACCAATGTGTTTCACACTTTCATTTTTTAAGAATCAAATATAATGGAAAACTATTGTGTATTTTATTTATTTGTGCTGTATATGTATTGTAAGCAATTAGTACAAAAAGCAGTTTTTTAAAAGAATATCCTATGTGAGAAAAAATTGTGTACGGCAGTAAAATTGTCTCATGTTAATTCACAGTGAACAAATAAAGCCATAGAGAGAGGGGGGGGAATTAAACAGGCGACTAGAGTGAAAGGAAAAAAAAGATGTTTACTGTAGTAACAAATAAAAACTATTAATCTTCCTACTGCCCTACTTAATTTTTCCTTGGATAGGATATTTTTTAAATGTTTTTTATTAATTATTTTTTTTAAACAGAAAGTATATGTACTAATAGCTTATATTTCAATCTTCTGCAGCTTGAGCTCAGGACTTTTCAATTAAATATATTTTTCTTCTTTTCCTACTATTTGTTTTTCAAGTATATATATATATCTGGCTGTTGCAATTCAGTTCAACAACAGTATCATAAAGTATATTAAAAAGCTTATCTTTAGAATTTCCGATACGCAGTTTTGCATGCTGGAGATAATTTTTTCCCCTCGTACAGCGTTGCTATTGCTCGCTTTGAAATAGTTGAATTTCGTAATCAAAAACTCATAAATGCTTTACAAAATATGAAATAGAAAATAAAACAAATTCTAAATTTGGGATTCCAAATGTCCATATTCAAGTGGAGACGTACGTCATTGAAAATTTGATGGCTGTAGGTAGTGTTGTTTTTCACAATGCGAGAACCATTCATACATTTATGCAGTTTCTTCATTATTTAATTTCTTTAAATATAATGCAGGGCTCTAATATTTGGTGGCAATAATTTAAAAAGTGATTTGCCGTTTATAATGAATCAACACAAAATGCCAAAACAAAATTAATAGCTCTTCTGGGAAAATTGCCCCTTTGCGCTAATAATATTTAAATTGGTGTTTCTTTCTGAATGGCAATTTTCACTATTTTTCAGTGCCATTTGATTTTTAAAAATAAATATTTGAAATAAAAATTATAAATGCAGTTCTTAATGAGAGGGATGTTCTAAAGAATGATAATGTCATTTTATGTGTTCATTTTAACAGGAATAGTATTTTGAAGTGTGATAGTTTTCTTATCATATGAGTGTATCAGTTTTAATTTTATTTTATAGTGTTATCATTTTCAGTGTTTTATATTAAAATTTTTGTGTGAGTGTTTTGCTTAAAAATAAATGAAAAAAAGTGCCAAATGATTTCATTATCATCATAATGCGTAACTTGTTTTTTTAGACTATGCAAATATAAACACATTTGAAAAAGAAGTAATTGAGCATTAAAAAGGTCTCCCATTTTCATTATTTTTTGTGTGCTTGAGTGAGTGTAGAAAACATATTTAATTCTCTGTTTCAATATATTATTCTTAAATATCTTGCAACATAAAAAAAAGTATTTTGTTACTAATCATATGAAGTTGTATTAATGCTAATAAATGAAATGTGGTCCTTCTGTCAAGCTCTGATACATTCTCACTGAAGATACTAAAAGCAATTATTTTAACTAATAAATGCATTTAATAAGTGTTTCAGATATCTTAAATTAAAAAATACTATGCTGTTTATCCAGTCATCTGAAATCAAAAATCGCCAAATGGTATTCGTTGAGATTTACAGTCAGTATAATAATATAATAAAAAACAAGAGAGGAAAATGTAAAAACTTTTATTAAAGTAATTTGTTAGTTGTGTATGTGTTTTGTTTTCATGTTTTCAATTATAATTTTTTATGTATTGAAGATTCCCCCCTTTCCAATGATATATAGTACATCTGTATTATGACTTTTATCTGAAGATTTTAAATAATGTTATGTAAGAAATGTATTGCACATTGTGTTTGTGATGTGAATTTTGTCTTATCCCATGATATTTTTTTCTGTTACTCATGCTTTTTTTTAACTTTTAATCATTTAATGTTTTTGTGTATATATTTGACAAGTACATTAAGATGTGTTCTTCAAATGTTAGTGTTTTATTGACAAGAATTTTCAACTTTGTATTTATATTTAATAATTAAATTAAAATTTTAAATTTTCTGTGATAATGATCAGCAAAAAGTCTGTACTACTCTCAATATTTGCACTATGGGTATTAAAAAACATAGTTTGTTTAGTTTTGCACATTTTTATCTGATGTTTGTATGTGCCTTTTTTTTCAGTGAACTTTGGCGTTTTATGTTCTTTGATGTTCAAAATAAAAGTATTTTCTGTAACTGATTTCTTTCTTTTATTAAGAATGTAACCCTTTTCAGAATTCTCTGTTTTTTAGGGTTTCTGCTTGATAATCTAATGAAAAATAGCTGTTGAACTTTTAAGTAGTTGAGTAATATTAATGATACAGAAGGAAATATATGACGTGTGTTTTACATTATAAACTTTTTTAACGATAAACATTTGTTAATATAGTTGTTTATTTAAGAAAGCTTTCGGAACATGTTCAGTTATTGAAAAGAATCATAATTTACATTCATATAAAAAATTAAATATATTCCTAGCTTTATGGTAACTCCAACAGCACATTTGTATAACATGCATGGCAGATATGGCAGCTGATTTTGATAATTGAATAAAATGGTTTTGGATAGTAAGATTTTGATGAATTTAGTCATTAAATATACATCACTTTTATGGGCATCAGCATTTAAAAAAAAAAAAAACTAGAGGATTTATGTATTTTAGTTGGATTAGAATTCTAATAATCCTGCAAATAGTTTTGATATTCTTAAAATTAACGTATTAATTATATTTCAGTCAGTGTTATAACTGGTAACGGTTTGAATTTTTACCAAAGGCCTCAATAATGTACAAGTAGTAAATTTTAATTAAACAAAATGCATAAATACTTTTATTATTGCTGTTATAACTTAAAAAAAAATATTCTTTTATCTAGTGACAGTATGGCTGAAGCCAACAGGGAATGCTCCAATAATCAAAAACAAAAAGTGGGTGGTTGAAAAGAATTGTACTATTGCAAAGATAATGGGATTTCTTAAGCAATATATGAAACTGGATTCTTCTGCTTCTGTGGTATGTTGTTTATTTTCACGTACTGTAAAATTATATGCTGACATAATTGGCTTAATCACTATTTTGTTCGTGCTGTTACCTTTGTATGCATTCTTCATAAGTTCAACATTAAATGACTTGAATTTGTAAATAAAAAAAATACATGGCGAGCCATATCCTTAAGCAGTACATGAAACCGGATTGATGCAAAACTTTTTAAATTATTGTAATGATATTTGAACATTGATTTTATATATACATCTATATATAATATAGAAAAAATAGATAAGATTGGATATAAATAAATTACAATAATTAATAGATTTTGAAAAATCTGAAGCTTACATATGATTTTAATACTCTTTCTTCATTTATTAATTTATTCTTCATCAATCAGTTGTATTTTGTGTTTTAGAACTGTCTGAATAGTATTTTTTGTAAATGAAGGAAGGATGCTTTTTAGCATCTGCATCTTTTAATTTATGGATTTGCATATTTTTGTAATTTTAGACCTTTTGATTTATTGTAATTATAAAAAGTATGAATTTTAGTGAAATGAGAATTCAAGTATTGCATTTAATTATATCAAAACTAAGAAAATTAACACTTTTTAAAAATTTCCCAGAAAATACTAGACAGAATTTAATGAAATTTGATATAGGTACCTTGTCAGAATAAAGGATTAATTTATTTGAATTACAACTATTTAGGTGAAATTAGACTTCTAATGGATACACAGGTCATTGTGAGTCATCATACTGTAAATAAAACAGATGAGTCCCTGTAGTGATAATCATTTCTGCATCTAAACATTTTTTAATTCCTGGATAATTCTTAAGAGTAGTTTAAGAAATTGCAGTTCTCTTCCCAAGAGAATCCAAGACATTTTTAATCAAGATGAATTTATGTACATCTTTCAGCAACCATGGAACTTATGTCAAACACATAGATAGTGTGCAGCTATTCAATATAATGTCTTTACAGAATAAGTCTCCTCTGCTGCCCGAGTACTTGAGAATCAGTGTGTATGTTAATCTAGACTCATTATTAAAAAGAAGATGGGGTCTGAGTTTGATATTCTCTGTATCAGATTAAATGCATTCTGCTATATGAGGGAATCTGGATGCAAACAGTTTGTTTTCTATAGTCTATTAATTCAAAATAGGATTTTTAAAGCTATTTCCCCTCCCCAAACTATGATAATGCTTGAAATCTCTAATTTGCTAAAATCCTTTAATTACCTGTGTGTGGTGTTAACAATACATGTTACAATCATACATAATGGGAAGGTCTCTACCACCCTGAAGTTCCTATTTTAAAGTCATAGACTACATCAAAGAACCTTTATTCATTGAAGTAGATTTATAATGAGGAAGCAGTGAATGTTGAAACAAAATTTACAGTAGCTGCAAAGAGGCTGTGGTTGTAGTTGTCCTTTGGAGCCTGCTTGAAAAGTGCTAAATACTGATCATCATTGATTGCCATGGCTTTTAAACATCATTGGCCTGGCATCCTGAACATAAATCCTATCTCCTGAAACCATCTCCGCACAAATGCTTCATTTCCGATCTACCGACAATTTTGCATCTTTTCTTGTCATTTAACTATTGGCAGTTATTCATTCTACTTCAATACTTCTGAAATTTAATGAAATTTTACAACAAATGGTTTGATTGCAGCCAATGTATTTAAATGAAGTAAGCAGAGCAACAAATGACTGCTTTTTGTGCTTACCACTGTCATGGCCTATTTGTACAAATATTTGACACCAGTATTATTGCTGGTTTGTTTGGCTGCATACTTTCTGATTTTAGAATTTTTTGAGAAATTTGAAAAAATAGATTTGTTTTTTAATTTTGAATACTTCTGTAATTACAGTTGCTACAGGGTTTATATTTTCAAGAATTTTCAGTTTTTTAAGGAGAAAAATGATTTTATTAAAATCATCCACTTTAATCAATACAAATATCTAATTTAATTTATGCATTTTCTTAAGCAGTATTGTTTTGTATGAGTATCCTTAGAGATATTACAGGCTTGATAATATTTCCTGTTACAGTTGATGCTGCAGATGGCAATGTAGATTGATATTAGATTTTAAGATCTTTTATACAGTATCACTAAATAAGAATCAATAATGTAATCTATTGAGAGTTCTGTATAAAATCTTTTATTACTAATTAACAAGAACCCAAAAATTACTGTATTTTATATCGAGATAGCAATGAAAACGAAAATCAACCAATGCAGGCTCATGGAATTTTCTGGCTTGGCAGTTCGTGGAATTTTCTGGGCTTGAAATTTATCCTAGTTGATGTAAAAGAATTTCATAACTCTGATATTTGTGTCGACAGCGGATGTATTTCAGCTTCATTTTCTTTTCATTTCCAATTCATTACACATGAAAGTTTCTGCCAGCTATAGATTGTATATATATTGAAAGAAAAGTTACAAAGTGAGAAGTTAATTTTGAAATTATAATTTAGAAAATACCATCATTACATTTTGGGAAACTGAAACTTCAGGGCTAAATCTGTAACACTCAACTTTCTTCTTAATAAATGCTTGAACCTGTTTGATATCCTTCTATGCTTAGGTACATCAGTACCCACTGTTGATGAAGGAATGACTATGTTACCAACTTATTAAAAATATGTAAAATAGGGAAAGAAAAATGCAAATCAAAAACAGCACGGAGACTAAACTCACTAAGGATCATAGCCTTCTCTTTTTTAATCGTTTCCAACAATTATTTTGAATTTAAATAGCACTGACAAAAATTTATATTAGTTATATGTATTCTTTAACAAAGGAAGAAAAAAAGAGGGAAAAAACTTTATTCATGCATTTTATATCCAATTGGTTGAATAAAATATAAATAGAATTTTAGATTTTTGTAATTCATATTAACTTATTTAAAATGTAACAAAATAGATGGGCACAACTTTAATGCCTAATTTGTAGTGGAATATGAACATAGAAACATGAAAAATGAGATTTATTTTAATTGTGTATATTCAGCTGCAATACCTCCATCACAATGACAAAGTGATTTCATACACTTTGAAAGGTACTTAGCATGAGATAATATTTTACTAGAGTGACACTAATTCTGATGATAAGATCTTTCTCTGTTGTGATGCAAGTATTGCAGTTGCTGGTCATTCATTTGAACGATTTTCATAAAAATTGAATACTTTCTTGTAAATTATCACGATTAAAATGATTTTTCATTTCCATGTTGTTCATACAGTCTGGAGCATTTTGGAAGTAATATATTTGGCTCTAGAGAATGACACTCAAAGTATTTTATTCAATTTTTTTTGTTTACCTGTTCTTTTACATACATGCCATGAAGACTTAAACTACTGCACATTTGTTAGAGTTATTTGTGAAGCACTATACGTGGGTTGCTATTTATATTTCTGGCCTATTAATGAAAAAACAAATATTTATGATTGAAATTGGTTTTATTGTTTTCAAAATATTCTCCATTGAGATCAATATACTTTTGCATGCATTTGTAACAATTTTTGAAGCACTTTTCCACTTCGGTTGAGGTAACTTCAAAACATGCAGTTTGAATTCATCAACCATTTCTTCATGTGTCACAAAGTGCTGTAATTTATTTTTGATGTGCGGGACTAAAAAAAGTCATTGGTTGCCAAATTTGGGCTCTACAACAGATGACCAATCAATTCGATATTTTGGCCCATCAAACATTCCTTCGTTTGAGCCGATGTGTGACACAACTCGCATTGTCCCGTGATGAAGTGTGATTCGCCTATTCTGCTTTTTTCAAATTTGACCGATCACTTCTGGCAAACAAATGGTCATGTACCATTTGGAATTGACCATTTTGCATTGCTGTAATGCCATTGTCACCATGTGATCACTAATGCCAAAGAAACGGGCAACCATTTGTTTGGATGTGCTTTTTCCACAAACAACTTTTGTTAGATTTGGCTCATCTTGGAAGACCCCATACAGTCAAATGCTGTTTGATTTCAGGCTCATATGCATAGATCCATGATTTGTCAGCTGTGTAGAAGTTAATCACAGCCTTTGGTATGAACGTGTTTTTCCAACATTTCCTTGCACCAATCGACACAAGCACTTTTTTTTTCAGTGCTTGTCAGATAATGCAGGATTCAATGTGAACGGAATTTTTTTATGGCCAAATGTTCACGTAATATCTTATTGATGCTTTTCATACTAATGCCCAATGATGCTTCGATCTCATGGTATGTCACATGACAATCTTGCTTTATCAGTTCACGCTCAGCATCGATATTTTCTGGCACAACTTATTTTGGATGACTTTCACAGAATTTGTCCTGGAGTGAATGTTGATTATGATTGAATTCATCAGGATGGCTAGACGACCGAGGTGAAATGGACATTGAACAAGGGTTATCCCTTCCAAAACACCGTTTGCCTCAAAAGTAAAAAAAACACCACCGCCAAAACAAGCATACATAATGGGTACATTTATTTCGTAGAATTGCCGGAGTTTCCATCAAAACCTGGATAACTTCAAAGATATAATCAACATATATCAACCTGCCTGCTTTGCACTTCAGGAGACCTTGTTAAAACTAAGCAGACATGCTAAAATACGGAGATATACCACAGTAAGAAAGGACAACTCATCTGGGGATCGTGCCTGTGGTAGTGTGAGCCTTATTGCCTTCCACAATCACCCATACACTGCTCTTCCTTCAAGCTGTGGCGGTTCAGATCATTTTACGCTTTTCAATATCAGTATGCACTATTTATTTACCCCTGCATGATCAGCGAGAGTTGGACAGAACAATAGAGCTGCTCCCAGAACCTTTTTTTGCTTTTAAGTGACTTCAGTGCACATAGTACCTTATGGGGAAGTAGGGACACTAATTCAAGGGGCCGGCAGATTGAATAATTAATGGAAAATCATTCTATTTGTCTCCTTAATAATGGAGAATACACCTACTTTCATCAGCCAACTAGAACATTTCATGCAAGTGATCTGGCTTTTTGTT